TGCTTTAGGGCTACCATGAGACTGTTCCATTTGTGCTAAACAACTCTTTAAATAGCATGTACAGAGAGTGTTGAAAGCACCGTGCTTGGCAAGAACTCTGGCACAGGCTTAGGACAGTTCAGGCAATCTTTCTTGTGATTTCCAGCAGGACCCAGGTTCTTTCCCTTCTCTGCAGGTGGTGAAACGTCTTCCTAAAACCCGATCAGGGAAGATCATGAGAAGGCTGCTGAGGAAAGTAGTCACTGAGCAGTCAAGCAACATAGGAGATGTCACCACACTTGATGATCCAAGTGTTATAAAGGAGATACTGGATGCTTACCAGAAATACAAAGAGAAGAACTCCTCGTAACAGGCAGCTCTGGAATCTCTCCTCTGGAAATGTGGAAGGTCTCAGATGACAAGGCAAATGACATAGTTCTCTCTTGTTTTCTATTTTTATTTTTTTATAAACCCCGTTCCTTCCAGGGGAACAGGATTTTCCACTCCCCCCAAAATGGATGCTGAGATGCACAGAGCTAGGAGCACTCTGTGGTTGACCTCCCTTTCATTGCTTTTAGGGCTGCCACAGAGCAGCCACTGGTGGTTTCCATTAGCTATGAACTGATTTAATACTAGCTGAAGCAAGATGCAGACGTTCATGTTTCTCATTTTAAAGTTACTTTACAGTGAAATGTTTTTATACAATACTTTTGCTGGTTTAAAAGAAGCCCTGAAATGCACTACTTCAGCTTTTCTTTCAGCTGTGATACCTGAGTCCAAGTAGCTGTATCTCACTGCAGCTGTGGTGCCTTTTCAGCAATGCTGGGTATTCCAGTAGATGTTTCACCTGTGCTGTTAGGGAAATGAGAAGGACCTGGCTAGTCTGATCATTCTTTCTTGTATCTACCCAGTTGTTCTAATACCTCATCCTGCTTTGCTCATAAGAATTCGTTCCTACCACTCTATGTCTTGGGACTGGCCAGAGATGGTGAGCCTGTGTCCTTTTATGTCCCACCTAGGCAACCCAGCACTAGCACTTCCCACTGCAAAACTGAGCCACTAAGTCTGCTGCTGGACTCTCTGCATGTCCTCAGTGCATTACCAGTTGCACAGGAAGGGTCTAGTTCCACATGGTTTTATTCTGCTTTGAGAAACTGAGATCACTAACTTGGCTTTTAAAGTGACTCTTCCTCATTGGTGATGACAACTGGATTGATGTTGTCCACTGTGGTTCACTTCTGCATATAAGGATTGGTGGTCTGCAACTGGGAGGTCTTTGTTGCCAGTTGGTGTAGGTGCCTTTGTTTCTTTAAGTCACTGTGAAAAGGGACAATGTTTGCTTTGAAGCATTGGGAAACAAGTACTGAAGTGCTTGAGAGAGATTTGACGCCGCAAGGTGTGCTGGAGAGTTCACTGTGACTTGTCAGGCTGTGTGATTTCTGCTTCAACAAAGACAAGAACCCAGTTTGGAGGTAGGCTGGTTCTCCTCTCAGAAGTTATGAGTTAATGCTTATTGTTTCAGTAATCAGCATGCTGCCATGCTGATCTTCCAAAGAATCAAGTGCCTGGTGGGAAGCCACAAACTGCACAATCCACAAGAAAGAAGTGCCTCTTAGATGCCTTAGAAAGCGATAGCATTCCAGACCAGCAACCTCAGAATAGAAGGGAACAATAACCTTTGCCTTTCATATACTTTCAAAATTGCAGCTAATATATTAAGTGGTTTATTTCTGGATTCATTTTATGATGGACACATTTTGATTGAAGTACTCCTTATATTTGAGCTGTTCGGAAGAATTTGCTAGTAGGTCTCCTGTCCTCTAGTAAGCTACTGGAGGTCATGGAGAAGCCTGTAGATGATGGATATCGTTGAGACTTCTGCCACTGCTTAATATGATTTAAGCTGGCTGAGGGGTTTGGAGTGGCTGGAGGGGGCCATGGAGCATGCCACACTGTGGCTGGGGTCACTCCAAACTTTGCAGTCCTGCCTCTGTCTTTCTCAGGTGACAGTCTGCTTAGCTTCATGGAGCTGTGTTTTGACCTCTTAGTAATAGTTAGAATTGCCAGGTTTTGCCCTATTTTTCCAGGGTCAACTTATTGCTGGGTTTAAGTGGAGCAGCACTGCCTTTTCCAGGGGGACTGTGTACTGGAAAGACAGTCTGTGCACCTAACTGGAGGCAGGAAGGAAATAGCTAGGTGATCTGGTAGGATGGGGAGAGGGGTGGTGAGGTTTTAGAAGGGGGAAGTCCATCTTTCTAGAGATGAGGGGTGTGTTGCACGATCTAATGTTAAGCCTTTAATTTGATTAATTTGTAATCATGCTTTAAACACATTTATTGTCCTTGACCAAAACCAGTTTCTTCAATGATCTCTGTATTTGTATTTTCATTAAAGGAAATACCTTTCTTTGTGTGATGGGTTGGCTTTGTCTTGTAGGTGTCTGGCCTTCCATGCCTCAAAGGGTCTGGGACTTTCTCAGTTCTTTGGTCTTGCTTTTGCCTGATTATTTTAGTCTGCCAAAGGAGACTGAGGTCAGGATGAGTCATCTTGTGGACCAGACTGTTGTTTTGCTTTGCTCTGAACAGTAGCTCACAGGAAGTGAGCTACTACCAGAAAACTTCCGCTGCGTGTAACAACTTAAAGTTGAAGTAGTGTTTGCATATCAATAAGCTGCATGTCTCTGAGGTCCCACTGCTCTTCACTAATTTTCCTCTGATGCAAAGGGGGAACAATTAGTGGGAACAATTAATTATTGTTAGCTGATAAGTCTGATCAGGAATGGCTGAGGGAACTTGGGGGGGGGGGGGGGGGGTTAGTCTGGAGAAGAGAAGGCTCAGGGGGGACCTTACTGCTCTCGACAACTGCCTGAAAGGAGGATGGAGCCAGGAGGACGCTGGGCTCTGCTCCCAAGGCACAAGGGATAGGACAAGAGGAAACGGCCTCAAGCTGCACCAGGGGAGGTTTAGGCTGGATATTGGGAACAATTCCTTCCCCAAAGGGCAGTCAGGCATTGGAACAGGCTGCCCAGGGCAGTGCTGGAATCACTGTCCCTGGAAGTGTTCACACACCATGTAGATGAGGCCCTCAGTGCCATGGGTTAGTGATGGCCTTGGCAGTGCTGGGAATGGTTGGACTTGATGAGCTTCACAGTCTTTTCCAACCTATAATATGGGTGGTTCAGCTATATATCTCCTTGTCTTATACAGAGCATGCACTGGTAGAAAAGGAGTGAAAATGGGATGTGTGTGGGGAACACCAGAGACAGCATGGTGTAGAAAGTGAGCATCTAGCTGTTCCGTAGCTGAGCGGATGAGAGGAAATTTGTTTCCAGGTGCCATGGATCACTTGAAGTGCCAGGAACACATCCTCTGCAGTGTGCCTTGTCAATGAAGCAGTGAGGAAGATTGTGTGCCAAGTGAGCAGCACCCTGCTTGTAACGCAGGGATGGACACTGAACACCCTCATTAGCCATTTCTCCTGTTACCTCTGGCTAAAGCTTCTGGAAAGCTTCCAATGCCGCTCCTGGAGAGTGTCTGACAAGTCACGGAAAAGCCTGGAGAGAAAGGGAGGTGCCCATATCCTCACTTTGTGTTTGTTACTGCAGCTGCCCTCATTAATTGAGAATTTACTTGTAAAATGGAAGCTGTTTTGCAGCCTAACACAATTATATTTAGCAGCTGTCTCTGTGTCCAGTTAAAGCTACAGACACTGATTCCAGCAATGGGTTTCTGGTTTTAAACTAAGCAGGAAAAGATTTATTTAATTTTTTTCAGCTTGGAACAGACAATTCTGGACAGGGACCTGCCTTCTGGCTGCATGAAATTTCATGGCAGACAGCCTAGCCTTGCTTTGTTGTGGATGGAAGGATTTGGGGATGTAACCATCATCTGGGGTAGAAATGGTGACAGTTGTGCCAAATTACCAGCCTACAACCATTGGGGGTGAGTGATGTACCACAGCAGCTTTCATGCCCTTGCTTCTGTTCCTCTGGTGTGTATCCCTGTGGCTGTTAAATGGAAACCCAGTGCTTGTCAGTGCTCATCCTGCACCCGGCATGCAGGAAGACTCAACTGCATTTCTTTTTCTACCTATTAGACCTTGGAGATACCATTTTACTCCCGTGTGCCTCAGCCTCTGCACCCCTAGTAACGACAGCAGCCTCATGTGGAATACTACTGCCAGGGCCTGGGGCGGGATGGGTGTGCAGGGAACAGTGCTGCTAAGCTCTCCTGCAGCTGCTGTTGCCTGAATTCAACCCAGCAGAGAGCAAAGCCGTTCCCACCCGTCCCAGCCACAGCTCTTCTCTGGAAAACCCACGTGTTGTTTTTTTTCCTAGGCATGATGCCAAATAACCTTTCCCAGTCCTTGGCAGCTGGGCCAGTCCCTGTTCCAGCCCTTGTCTCTTGAGCTGCACTCGAGTTTCACGTGCTGGAAGCGTTCTGCAGTGTTCCCAAAGCCCCGGGGCTGATCTTGGCACGGGCACTCAGGGATCTTTGTGGAACACTGCTGCTGCTGAGCAAGTTAAGGGTAAAACCCGAGCACACGGTGTTACCCAAGAGAGGAGCGCAAGTGACGTGCTGGGAGCCCACGGCTGGGTGTCAGCCTTCATGCCTGGGTTATCACCGCTTGGGTGCAAGGGGCAGGGGGACATAAAGGCGGGTCCGGCAGCTCACGCTCCTAGGAACCAAAGAGGCATTTGCCTTCCCGAAGCCCCTCCGCCTTCTCCCTCCTACCGGGCGCCATTTCCCCGCCCGCCCTCCGTCCCTCGCGGTTGCCTGGCGCCATCTTGCGGGCCACGGCTGCTCTGGCTGGTCGCGACCGGGAGAGGGGACGGTCGCGCACCGGGAGCCCCAGGCCGCCCAGGGGGCAGCGGCGGAGCCCGCCCGGGGTGGCCGGGTACAGCCATTATCGGGTACAGCCATTATCAGGTACAGAGCCCCGCTGGAGGGGAAGGGACGAGGAGCCATGGTGCCCGCCACCCCGCGGGGCGGCTGCGGCCTGAGGGGAGCGCGGAGGCGGGGCCTGCGGGGGTGTGTGAGGAGGCGGGGCAGGGCGGCAGCGCCGGTGCGAGGCGGCGGAGGCGGCGGCATGAATGAGGCGGAGGGGCTGCGGCAGCGTCGGCCGCTGCGGCCGCAGGTCATCACCGAGGACAGCCCCGCGCAGCAGGACAAGGAGGGCAGGTGGGGCTATCGCCGTCCCACCGCCGTGGGCGGGGAAGAGGCGCCTGCCGTGAGCGCGGAGTTGGGCCTGGGCCTAAGCCTGAGGGGAGAGGAGGGCCGGTGTCGGGGGTGCTGAGGAGCTGGGCGAGGGGGTGTTCGGCTTGACCCGAGGGGAGGGTCCGGGGAGCTGAGGAGGAGCGTTCATAGCAGGTGAGTTGTAGGGTGGTGGTTGGGCCCGGCTTGAGGGAGATATTTGGGTTCAGAGAATGGCAACGGAGCTGGTGCAGGGCCTGGGCACAAGTGTGGTGAGAAACACACTGTGAGACCGGGGGTGGGTTCAGTCTGGAGAAGAGAAGGCTCAGGGGGGACCTTATTGCTCTCGACAACTGCCTGAAAGGAGGATGGAGCCAGGAGGAGGCTGGGCTCTGCTCCCAAGGAACAAGGGATAGGACAAGAGGAAACGGCCTCAAGCTGCACCAGGGGAGGTTTAGACTGGATATTGGGAACAATTCCTTCCCCAAAGGGCAGTCAGGCATTGGAACAGGCTGCCCAGGGCAGTGCTGGAATCACCGTCCCTGGAAGTGTTCACACACCGTGTAGACGAGGCCCTCAGTGCCATGGGTTAGTGATGGCCTTGGCAGTGCTGGGGAATGGTTGGACTGGGCGATTCTAAAAGTCTTTTCCAACCCAGTTGATTCTGTCTGTGCTGGAAATGCAGAGGCTCCACCAGCCTAGCCTGGCCCTGGTGAGGGAGGCCACGGTCTGGATGAGAGTGCCCTGGGGAGGCAGTGAAAGGGGCTAGAGGGAGGCCATGGTTCCTCTCCTGAGTGGCAGCACAGGTTGGTGCTGGGGCTTCCGTGGGTGTCAGCCTGGGAGTACACCTAACCTTGCAGCACAGGCTCCTCTCCCCAGTGCTCAGCTTCTGCTGGGGATGGCTGACGGAGGGAGGAGTGTTTGGGGCAGGGCCTGCGCACCTGCCACACTGCAGGGAGAGCTTTTAGCAAAAATAAAACAGTGTAATTTATGGCGTGGTTTGTTTGTTTGTTTTGTTTTTTCAATGGGTCTGTTTGAGCGTGGTTTCTCTCTCAAAAAGCAGTTATCCCGTTGTGGCTTGCACAGGTTTATTGTGTGTGTGATTAAATCCTGTATAACCCTGGTTAGCCTGTTTATATTTGGCAGTAGTTTAAAGAATAATCTGTGGTTTAAAGACTACATTGTATGCCTGAGGTAGAATAATCTTATAAATCTTATTTGGTTGTGGTTAAGTTAAAGAAGATTTCATTTACAATTTTCTGTTTAGGAATTTTATCAAAAATGAATTTCACTGTAACCACATGCAGTAGCTGCAGTGAGGAAGTGGCGGTGTTTGCTTTGCCTTCCACTGAATAAAGTAGTTAATGATTTTTTAATTCTTTAGTTCACCATCTATTATGTTTGTTCAGCTTGGGTACCTTGCAGATTCTTATCTCTGCCTGACTTCAGGGTTATCAGAATGAAACACTGCCAGGGATGGGGCAGCCACAGCTTCTCTGGGCACCCTGTGCCAGGGCCTCAGCACTCTCACAGGGAAGAATTTCTTCCTAATGTCTCATCTCAATCTCCCCTCTGTCAGGTTAAAACCATCCTCCCTTGTCCTGCCTCTGCAGGCCCTTGTCGAAAGGCCCTCTCCAGCTTTCTTGTTGGCCCCTTTAGGCACTGGAAGCTGCTCTAAGATCTCCCCTTAAGGAGTGTTCTCTTCCCCAGGCTGAACCAGCCCAGCTCTCTCAGCCTGGCTCCAGAGCAGAGCTGCTCCAGCCTCTGGGGCATCTCCGTCACCTCTTCTGGACTTGCTCCAACAGCTCCATGTCCCTCTTATGTCGGGGAAAGGTCTATGTTACTCTTGTGTTGCTCTAGGTTTTTACTGTTTGTTTTTTTTTTTTTCAGTCAGATGTAAATATCCCTATTATCTCAGTGGGTTCAAAATGGACCTTAAAGGTCATTCAGGGTACTGATTAGGCAAAAGTGTTCTTGTTTCCTTTTGTGGGGAAATAGGCCATTGAAGGAAAGACTGTTGTATCTTAAAACAGCTTAGTATGCTAATCCTATTTCTTGTCTGTTGCAGTGCTTACAGCAGCAAGGTGTTCCGGGTTACTTTCTTGACTTTGGCTGCATCTCTAACTGTACCTCTGCTTGGAGTAACTGTTCTCCTGGATTGTCCTATAGACCCTCAGCCTATAAGGTAAATTGTTCCTTTGGTTTGAAACAAATGTTCAAGGGTGATTTGTATGTGTTCTGCTGCTGGTTTTGATGGTTTGGTGTGTTTGTGGGTTTTTTTTTTTTCCTCACCAAACAGGAGTCAACTGTGTAAAGGGGTTCTAACTGGGTTAAGAAATTGGGGAGTGTTATTATCCACTGCCATGGCTTGCTTTGCGTACCCACCCTGTTTCTGAGCTATCTTGTGCATTTGATCACTGAAGGAGCTGAATAACTTGATGCTGTCCAAACTGTCAGTGGAGCTTGTGATTCCTTATGTGCACTCTTGCCTTCTGTGTGTGTGCATTCTCGCCTTCTGTGAGACAAGAACTGCATTTTCACTAAGGACCAAGCTGCACCCCTGTTACTGTAGTTCTGCAAAAAGAGAGACTGTTTGTCTGAGTATGTAAGTTCAAAATCGATAACCTGACTGGTTTGATGTAGTGCTTTGTACCAGCACAACCACACGGTAATGTTATATTTAAAGGCAAATCTCATCAAGTAATGCAGCTAGGTGATTTCTGCTCTGTCTGAATTGAGGTCTGTATCAAATGTGTAGTGTAACAGTGAATCCTCTATGTGAGATAATGTGACCTGTTTTGGGAGTTGTGCTTTGACTGCTAGCATAGGGTGAAGTCAGGCTGTTTAATGTTCCTGGCATTTTGAAGTAAGTAAAAATGCTCAATCTGATATTTACTATCATCTCTATAAATCCTTACTGAAAAGGAACAACACCACTGTAAATACCTCTAGGGCTGAAAGAAAGTGTTAATGTGGGAGGGTAGTACTTGCCACTAGGCTATTAGACATAATCTGCCTTATTTCAAATTATAATGAAATGCTTTCTGCTGTGGTTTGGTTTAACAAAACCCAATTCCCTGAACTACATTGCAACTGAACAGTAATTCTGAAAGCCAGTAGTATAAGGCTATGATGCTTTTCCTGTTATATAGGCTGGGTCTGATTCTGGTGCAGAGTAAAAGTATTCTGCATGCTTACATTTCTTACTTTAAGTCGCTTTTATAAGACAGAATTATTCTTCCTGCCCAAATCGCTCTTACATTGTTGTACATTCTCAATTAGCTTGTTAGCTTAATTGCTAGGGGTGGTTCCAGTCTGTACAGTAGAAAGGATGATTCTGTGTGATGTTTGAGATGTTTGGAAAAAGCTCAAGGAGGTGGATGCAGCCTGAATCAATCCCTTCAGTGAAAGGACATGTTTGAGAAATCTCATTTGCCAGTAGTGATGTTATTCCTGTAAGCCACTAGAAATAATGAGGAATAAGAGGGAAGACAGAGACCAGATGTGAAACTCCATGAGAAATTCCTGCAACTGTGGTTTATTTCCTTTCTCTATGAGCCTGTCTTGGGTAATATTGATCTCAGGGAGGATTTTCTGCTTGCAAACACAGCTGTCCAAAGTTCCCAGCAAATGAGTTCTTTATCAGAAAGCTGCTTTTCTCATCTTAACCTCTCTAATGCTTGGAAAAAGGGATGAAAACTGAATTTGTGTTAGCATTTTGAAGACAACTCTGCTGTAAATCACCTGTGACAAAAGCTAGTAATTCATCTGGCTTTGCCACTGTAGTAATAGATACTTAAAGGAATGTTTGCTGCCTGTAGCCAGACAGATAAAAGTATGTATCTTTTCTCTCCTTCTGAATTCTTCATGTTGTGAACCTGTTTTCCTTAGTTGTCATGGCTTTTATAGTTTGCAGCTTCAGTTGGCTTCCTCCAGTCACTGCAGCTTTAGAAACTGTAATGGTTTTTACCACATGAGTTGCAGCGTGGTCGATTACAAATAGGTCCTGGATCCTGTGAACCTGGGCAAAGCTGGGAGTCAAAACTCATCTTTTTAAGGTTCTGCAGGTGGAAGGCATTTGCATATGGTCATGTGAGGAGTCTTTAGCATACTCTTGTGAATGAACCCCTAATGAGCTTACCACTTTGGACCTGTGTGCAGTTTTTAGTAGTAACTTGAAATCCATAACTCATGGGGACTGAAGTGGCTTATGTGTGAGTTTTTAAGAACCTAGGAGATTCAAATGTCTTGAAGTTTGCCAGCACAGTTAAGGCTGTTTTTGAAGCACAGTGCTTTTGAGCCTAGTATTTAAGCCGAAGCTGTGTAAGCATCTCACTACTTCTCCATATCTCTGTATGGAGCTGGAGCTCCAGTTGGCTTGAGCATGGCTATTTTTGTGAATAAAGGTTTGCAAGATTTGACCTTATTTTGTTATTTTGAGAGTTGAGTCCATACCCTTTAAGTTTGTATAACTTACTGCTTTGGGTTGCCCTTTCTCTATGGGAATAAATTCAAGTCACAAACAGGAATATTATGGTACAGAAGCAGGTGCGTGCAGGTGCTCAAAGTACTGGAGCACTTTTTTCCCTAGCTGTATGACAGCTAGCAGTTTTTCTTATTTGTTTCATACAGTGTCGGCTCTCAGTGTACTGTAAAATGCCATGTTTTTAAATTTTTTTAAAGCCCTTTTTCTTAGGAATTTTCTTATCTCTACGTAGGAAAACTATTTTGGTGCAAACGGCTTGTTCAGCTGAATAAGAAAGCAGCTATTCTTTGTGTGGTGGCAGTGCAGAAATCGCAGAATCACCAAATAAGCTAGGTTGGAAAAGACTCTCAAGATTGTCCAGTCCATCCGTGCCCCAGCACTGCCAAGGCCACCACTAACCCATAGCACTGAGGGCCTTGTCTACACGGTTTGTGAATACTTCCAGGGATGGTGATTCCACCGCTGCTCTGGGCAGCCTGTTCCAATGCCTGACTGCCCTTTGGGGAAGGAATTGTTCCCAATATCCAGCCTAAACCTCCCCTGGTGCAGCTTGAGGCTGTTTCCTCTTTGTCCTGTCTCTTGTTCCTTGGGAGCAGAGCCCAGCCACCTCCTGGCTCCATCCTCCCTTCAGGTAGTTGTAGGGAGCGATAAGGTGTTGTTGGACTTTAAGCTGTATGAATTTCCAGATATGTTTTAGGAAAACATGACTGCAACTTTTCTGATCAGAACCAGAAAATTATGATCTTTGATGAACAGGAGCCAATTTCTCAGCTTGTTAGCTGTGTTTTCTTTTTGGAAATATACTGTAAGTAAGGCATAGGTCAGGTTTGCAGGAGTTGGCAAACCAGGAAAATAAAATGGTGCAATGCGTTGCTCAAGCGTGTTTGCAGATCTAAGTGATCATGAGGTCTGTGTTCTGTTTTGCAGTTTGAAGGAACCTCCGCTCCTGACGGGTGTGCTTGAGCCCAATGTCAAGTTGCGCAAAGCTGAGCGGTTATGGGAAAATCAGCTGCTTGGACCCGAGTCCATTGCCATCATCGGGGGTAAGCACTGACAAAATAATCCTTTAAAGAAGGGTCTCAAAACGTTGCTCCATTGGTCAAGGTTTGTTCAGCAGTGCACCTCTTAGATAACAAACTCTGCAAGTTATTTTGAATGTGCAGGGTTTTTCTAGAAATACACGTGTTATGCAACAAAACCTGGCTGCTGTATACTGCTCCATCCCTGGCAGTATTCAAGGCTGGGTTGGATGGGGTTTAGAGCAATCTGGTCTAGTGGAAGGTGTTCCTGCCTGTGGCAGGGGGTTGGAATTATATGAGCTTAAAGGTCCCTAACAACCCAAACCAGTCTGTGATTTTATGATACTGCTTTTTTCCTCTTTACCCAGTATAAAATAAATCTTGTTTACAGATTAAAAATCCCTGTATTCCAGGACTGAAAGCAGCAACAAGGTAGTCAGGGGCCACTTATATTTGGAGGCAGTGGTCCCAATTTTAATTTATTTAACTCTTAACTGGGACTTAATATTTAGAGGGTAATGCTTACTCTTTAATGCTCACTGCTGCTGAGGGAGCTGAGTTTTGTGGCATTAATTTTTGCTTATGTGTGAGGAAAAAAAGTGTGTTTACATATTTGTGGTACATGCATTACAGGTGCCACGCCACCTCTGAGCAGTTTCTTAACAAGGTGGCTGGACTGGTAATGTTTCAATGTTTTGTCAGTCTCATTGGAAATTGGAAGGAAATCTTGTCCTGTAAGGGACAACTGACCTATAGGTGGAACAATCAGTCTGACTGGAAATAAGCTTGGTATGAATAAATGTTGAAGTCTTCTTATTCCCTTTTGAAGGTGTAACTAGCAAACTGAAAACTAAATCAGTTAAATTGGAGATGGAAAAGTCGAAGCAGTGGGCTCTTCTAATCCAGTGGTCTCTTGTTTAATTTGGTTCTAAGGAAAAGTTTGTGCGTTGTTTGTATTCAGTGAATCTGTCTGATGCTATCACTTGGCATGAATTTAGTAATTTGGCAATGATTTGGATTTGGATGGTTGTTCAGTTGCTGTGGGTTTTGCAATTCTTCTCCAGACCTGATACGATATGAGCATTGGCAGATGTCCAGCAGCCTGTGGACTGTATCAGAATGAGAAGTCTTATCTAGTCAGGCTCTTGTTAAAGAGTGGTAGGATGGATGCAGTGCCTGATCCAGTTTGATGCTTATGTAGAAATTTGCCCAGAGGGATCAACATAGTGACTAGCCATTAAGTTGTTACATGCATCTTTAACCAAAGATTTGGACTACTTATGGGTGAAAAGCTTCATATCCCATACTCATAATTCCTAGGGCTTCAATCCTTCCTCTTCTTTCTCAGTTGGAAAAAATCTAAATACTCTTATTTGCCTTCATCTTTTCCCTTCCCTATTTATTCTGTTGCTATGACTGAAGAAGACTGTTCCTTTACCTTAAACATGCTAATAGAAGGATTGTATAGAAGGATGTGTGCCACTAAAGTTTTGTGATCAAGCTAATCACACCAGTTGCTTTTTGCAGATGTGCTGTTTACTGGGACAGCTGATGGGAAGATTATCAAAATTGAAGATGGAGAAATACAAACAATAGCCAGAATTGGCCATGGTCCTTGTGGTGAGTGACATCTCCTGAACATCATGTGCCTCAAAGTGTCTAGGTCAAGGCTTGTGTTGATTAAACTGGTGTTCTGTCCGGATTCCTCATGCAAGTGCATATCTTCCTCGATATTTATAATGGCAGGGGGATTGGAACAAGATGATTTTAAGGTCCTTTCCAACCCTGATCATTCTATGATTCTGTGATAACAGAAATATGAATAGATTTGTATGAATGGAAATATGTATATGAGCACTGGAAGGAACAGTAGAACAAAGGGCCCAAGGAATGAGAGTGGGTGCACTTGGTTTATGTCATGACTACAAGACCTGCGCTCTTGCAAGGCTGCAGCATAGATGACTCAGAATCAGCTAGGCTGGGAAAGACCTTTAAGTCCAGCTGCTGACCCAGGACTGCCACGGCCACCACTAAAGCACGTCACTAAGGGCCTTGTCTACCTGGTTTGTGAACACTTCTAGGCACAGTGACTCCACTGCCCTGGGCAGCCTGTTCCAGTGCCTCATTAAAATGCCTGATGTGTTGGTAGAAGATCCTCTATAACACCGGGAGGAAGACGAGGTTGAAGTACATCACAAATAACATTCCTTTTCCTGTTAGCTGATCTAGAAAAAGTACGTGTCATAAATAAGCAAACAAAAAAAAAAAATTGGGCAGCAACTTGGCCTAATATTTATGGAAGCTGAAGTCAGCAGAATTCTGAGGTGAAGGGCCACTCCTGAGCCTTCTCATCTTGAAGGTCTTTTCCAACCTGGTTGATTCTACGATTAGACTCTGGACTGATTTGGAAGCACTCTCTTGGCTGCCTAACAGTCTGCTGCCAGCTGCACTTCCAGCTGCTGCTTAGGCATGAATGTGGATTGGAACAAATATAAAGAATTACCTCTTCACTGTTCCTTTCTTTTAAACTCACAGCTTGGGAGAGGTGGGAAGATTATGTCGTCCTATTTCTTTGGGGCCAAAGAGGTATTGGGGAGTGTAGACTTCATCTTGCCCTGCTTTGAGTTCAGAAGGGATGTGGAAAAGCTGACTACCTTCTCCAGAAGTTCACTTGCTGATCTTTGAAAATACAGATGTTCCTCGGGACTCGCTCAAGTAGACAAAATCTATAGATTTGCTGTGTTCCCCTTCCTCCTCACATAGAAGTCTTCAGGGTCTATGTGTACAATTTGACCTGTGTAGGTAGCCTGAATGCTATGTATTTATTTTATTTGGAAAACCATTTTAAAATTCTTTCCTAAGGAACCTGTGATGATGAGCCAACGTGTGGAAGACCACTTGGCATCAGAGTGGGACCAAATAACACCCTTTTTGTGGCAGATGCTTATTATGGACTCTATGAAGTTAATCCTGGTACAGGTATGACTTCTCTGCTCAGAAGGTCTCTTCCACTGACAAACCTGGGCTTCATTTGCAGTTTTGTCAGGCATTGCAGGCAAAGAAATGCCTGCTGCTTTTGTAGAGTGCCTTGGAGCTGTCTGGATGAAATTTGCCATGCAGGACTTGGTATTTATTGTCTTGTAGCAATCACTTCCTCTCTCCATCCGTATGTCTGGATCAGAGTTACCAGTGGCTTATCTTCTTGTGACATATGCTTTCTGGTTGTCAAAATTGGTACCTCAGGATCCATGAATAAAGCTTTATGTAGCTGTTTCACTTTTCATCAAGGGAATTAAAAATACTGCTGTTACACAAGCTTTTTGCCATGTTTGCTGTACTTTTGTTTCTGTCTTGACCTTGCAGTATGTTAGTGAGGAGCTTTTAACTCCCTGTAACTCCAGTTGATAGAAAGTGAAGAAAGATGTATTTTTGGTGCAGCTGAAGATCAAGTGACTTGTTCCTGCTGAGAAAGGCACTATTGCTTCATGCCCTTCTTTGTATGTCCCTGAGCCAGAACTCAGTTTCAGGAGCTGTGCTGTAAGAAAGCAAGATTTGCTTTCGTGTAGGGTTGATTTTCTGACAGTTTACATCTCCAAATTGGCTTCAGGAAGGGAGAGGAAGGCTAGCCAAATGCTGGGTGAGATGCAACAGGAGGGCTCAGACTGTATGGCTCTGGGAGTGTATGATCAAGGTCTCCCTTTTGATGGGACAACTGCCATATTGCCTCAGTCATGACAAAACAAACCAACCCGAAACTCATACCCAAAGATGATTTTAATAGCTTTTTGGTTAATTTTTAGAGATTTGCTGGGTAATGTGTCACAGCTGACTGTGGCAGAGCAGTTTAGTGAACCTTCTGATGTTTAATGTTGAGAAAGTACTATTTGTTCCTACACTTTCACAGGGAAAGAGGCAATAGTGTTTGGCTTGCCTGCATCCTTTTACAGCGTTAGGGCCTGGTTAGTACTTGGTTTCATATGAGCTTCAGAAACCCAAAAAGTCCTGCACTTACCACTAGGGAACATCATCTACTGTTCCAATTTTTCCAAAGAATGATTTCTTCTGGTCATTCACGTTTGTTGTTGTTGTAACCCAGAATCTTGTTAGTTAACAGAGGCATGAATGATAAAAATATGAAGTACCTGCTAATTTCCTGTTAGTATTTCACTCCTTTCCAAGGCAGGACATAAAAAAAACCTTGTTCTCTGTCTTCTAATTCTTCTTTTTGTAACCAGGTGAAACAAAAATGCTTGTGTCAACCAAAACACTAATTGAAGGTCAGAGGCTGTCATTTGTGAATGACCTTACAGTGACCAGGGATGGGAGGAAAATCTACTTCACTGACTCCAGTAGCAAATGGCAAAGGCGAGACTACTTATACTTGATCATGGAAGGCTCAGATGATGGGCGGCAAGTATCTTTTCCTAAGGCATTTACCTTATTGTAAGCTCAGCTGTAGGAAGGTACTCCACCACTTCCTCAGTCGTCTTTTTTCTCTTTATGCACCCCCTGTGTAAACCCTGCACTGCCCAGGAGAGGGTGAGAGAAGGTGTGGATGTGGCTAAAGAAAACTGCAGTGGAATAGTTGAGATTCCTCTTTTTCCATCAAGAGGAATTGCATGGAACATTTGTTTTAAAAGGGGAGATGTTGGCATTACATCCAGCGCACATCCTTCGTGAATGTTGCCAATCTCAAGTGCCTTAGTGTTTCTGCTGTGTTCATAGACAAATGCTTCCTGGCTATTCTGCTTTTTTAACTTGGGTGAAGTGCATGTGAGAGAAGATCTGATGCCTGGAGAAGGAAGCCAGGATAAGTAAACATATATCTTCACTCTAAACCACATTCTTTCTTTTTAGTCTGCTGGAATACGACACAGTGACAAAAGAAGTGAAAGTCTTAATGGTGGGGCTAAGGTTTCCCAATGGTGTCCAGCTCTCTCCTGCGGAAGACTTTGTCCTGGTGCAGGAGACAACCATGGCTAGAATCAGGAGGTGAGTATGTTTTTGCTGAAATTATTACTACTTTCTGTTCAGATACTGTTTATATAAATGAATTGAATCACAAAAGAAACCCTACACTCTATTAATTCCAAGTTACTAATGTAAAGAAGTTGGCCTTCTTCCATACTTAAGGTTTTGCTTTCACTGTAAACATCCGGACTGCATAATCTTTTTACCATAGGTTCCTTTCGTGGGGAGCAGGATGGGGCTGTGCTGTATTTCCCTGCACCAAAAGAAGGAAAAAATAAATTCTTTTTATTTTTTTGAAGTCAATTCCTTTTGGGACTTTTATTTATTACTGTAATGGTTTAAGCCCATGCTTGAGTTAAGATGTCCTAATCCTACTATCTATACCTTTCAGGTATTATGTGTCTGGGCTGATGAAAGGTGGAGCAGATATGTTTGTTGAGAATATGCCTGGTCTTCCAGATAATATCAGGTTAAGCAGCTCTGGAGGATATTGGGTAGCTATGGCAGCTGTCCGGCCCAACCCTGGATTTTCTTTGTTGGATTTCTTGTCTGAGAAACCATGGATTAAAAGGATGATATTTAAGGTAAACCCCCCCCCCCCAAATCACCTTTAGTTATAGGAGTAGAAGTGGCAAATACTTAGTTTGTCCTGGTTCTTCCTCTTGACAAGAAGATTTTACAGTTTTTTTTAGTGCCATGGTTAAAGGTGTTGTGGTTGCCCCCAGGTAGAACAGCCTTTTGTGTTCATAGGAAGTAAAACTAACATTTGCTTCTGAGTAGCAGCTACACACCTCTTAAGTTGCTTTCCATCTTGATGGAAAAAGAGACTGTCTCTGGCGTAGTCATGCACCAAGACAGGATCTACAGTTGGATATGTGAAGACCTCACCTTTGTGCCCAAAGTGCCTAAACTGCCGGATGTCTGGAGTGCATTTAGAAAGTCTGACCTGTTCTAGGTCTGACCCTAGGCATCTTAAGAAAGTGTGCATGTTAGGTATGCTGCTAGGTGCTGACTCAATATGCCTGTTGTTATGTCACATCCCCCCTTTAGGATGAGGGTGAGCAAGAATAATGTATTTTATAAGGAATATCTGATGCTAAAGAAATGGCATGGTGCTTTTTAAACAGTACAAGGACTTGAAAACACTTCTCAAAACCACCCAAATAAATAAACAAGCAATATTTAGGGTGGAAGTTAACATGTTAAGCCTGTGTATAGAATCATAGAATCACTTGGGTTGAGAAGACTTTTAAGATCATTAGGTCCAACCATTAACCTATTCTCAATGAAAATAAATATCAGACTTTTTAATTCCTACCAAGAGGAGAGGCTGCAGAACCGGTCTGGTGAGATTTCCTCCATCCATGTTCTCACACCTTTTTGCCAGTGGAAGTGATCAACTGCACAATCATTTAGCTGCGTGGAAAGTGTGAGGGACAGTATGAGGCTGGTTTTGAGCTATAGGCAGACAAATCCAAGGGGCAAAAAGGCCTGTTCCTCAAAAAGAATGAGTTTCTGAATTCTTCCTTGATATTTTAAGATGTCTTCTCTTCATTCTCAGAGTAAATGCAGCATTTTTCAAGCCAAAAAATATATTTCAAGCGAATGTAACAAATGCAAGAACAGGGTTTTTTAATAGGTTGAAGCCTTCACTACAGAGAGAAAAAATACATCTCCATAAGAAAGCAGCTTGAGTGAGTAGAGTTAACATGGGCACATGAATTTATATGTGTCTTCAGTTATAGCTTGAAAATATCAGTCCTTGGTAGCAATATCTGACAACATCTGAAAACTGTTCAGTGTGTTCCCTGGACTGGTGTAACTGAACTTTTTTTCCCCCCTCTAAGATTTGAAAAACTGAAAATGTGAAATCACGTTTTTCAGTGAGGTACCATTGCAGTGAAAGAAAGTGAAGGAATAGACACTTTAGGAAGACCTGTTACAGGGTCATTTCCTTGGCCCGGTCTTCTCTTGGCATCCTTTTCTTCCAAGTTCGTATGCTTACATTTGCCTCTGTTGAGGAAGAAGATGGCATTAATGTAGCCTAGGTAGTACATGGGAAGACAATGACTTTGGTTAATCCTTACTTTTGCCCACCAGGCTCTAGATGAACAATTACAGTTTGACCTGTTAGAGCCTCAGTTACAGCTTTAGAAACCGTCCTGGTCCTACAGAAGGAAGACCACCATATGTTAAAGCATTAGTTGAAATTCAGAAGGTGAACATAGAACAGAGTAATACTGTTTACACAGAATGTCTGCTTATGTTCTTGGCTGCCTCTTCCAAGGAGAGTCGTCTTTGTCTGAGTGTCTGAGATCTAATTGTGGAGAACAAAATCTTCTGTTGTTAATTCTCTTTTTTTCTCTTTTTCTTTTAGTTGCTGAGTCAGGAAACTGTGACAAAGTTTATACCCAAATACAGCCTTGTTGTTGAACTAAGCGAGACAGGAGCCTACAAAAGAAGCTTTCATGATCCCAATGGGGTAACAGTAGCTTACGTTAGTGAGGCACATGAGCACAATGGATATCTTTACCTGGGCTCCTTCCGGTCTCCGTTTATTTGCAGACTGAATCTTCAGCATGTTTAACTGCCCATCCATGATAAAGTGCCACTGTCCTAGAATACTCCAGAGGTACGAGGGAAGCGTGTGCTTCAGCCAGCATGTGACCAAGGACAAAACATGAAAGACAGTCTGTTCATGTGCAGTAGCACTGTTCTGGTGCCATAGGAAAACATACAGCTCGCTGTGCTTGTCCTCTTCCTTGTTTTGTCTGCTCTTGTTTTGGAGTTGGCATGCCTCACTGTTGGTATCTGAGGAGTATGGTGGGGCATCTTCATACTGTTATGTGCTCCTTAAAAGAAAATCTGTTGTTTTTCCATGCCCAGCTCTGTTTGGAGTTGTCCTAAACCTCATCTGTCACCTTTAATGTAACTGTATGTTTTCTTATACTGGGAGGATTTGTGATGTATGGAATGTAACTGTGTATGATTCAGGTTGAAGAGGATGTCCTGCATGTGTTTATTTCTGGTTTAGAACCTCCTGTTCAGGAGAGATTACAGTGCATGTTCTAATGTCATACCATGGTGCTGTGGTAGAGGCAGCAACATCCAGAACATGCCTGGAAATCTAGTTACATAATTTGGATTTCTTCAGTTCCAGCCTGTGTAATCAACATCAGACACTACAATTAGCTGTTAATCAAGATGCAGAATCAACTTGCCTGTGGTCTGTGGACTCCTGTGTTTCGTTATAGCAGTATAGTCAGATGATGAATGAAAGTTTCATTTTCTATGTTATTAAAGACTAGTTTCAGCTGGTTTAAAAGGGGTCAGTGGTGGTATTTCCTCCATGTTTACCAGGTCCTGTATGTCTCCTGTACATGATGTAGGTGGGCATTCCTGAGGGATGTGGGAGGGAAGAGGGCCAGCTGCAGGAATCCTCTTCAGTATGTGTTTTATGGAGAACTGGTAAAGATTTTGGGGAAACTAGTGTCTGAAGATGAGCATGGAATAAAAGGCCCCTGTAAAATACAGTAATAACAGGTGAGGAAGGCTTTGGTAGAATATCTTGGAATGCGGTAGCAACTCATGGATGCTTTCTGACATCTCCAGAGGAAATTGTTTACTTCCTCTATTAACAGGTACCCTGCTTGGTAAATGCAGAGAATTCTTTTCTGACAGCTGCTGCAAAGGAAAGGCTGTGCTGTTACATTTTAAATAAGAGGGTTTGCATCTCGAAGAACTAAAGGGGTTGTTTATCTGTGTCATTTAGTGGATTGAGTTGTGCTTTGTGACTGAAGGCTTTGCTGCGCTCTCTTTTTCTGCCACTGGGTGATAGTCAAACATAAAGCTACACTATTGCTTGTTTTACTCACCTTTGAAAAGGAAATAAGATTTGCTTGAGATATAATGCAAAGCACCAGGGAAGGGAAAGGTGACGTTAAAAATGTCATCTGCTATCGCTGGCCTTCTGCACTCATCTTCATTAATGGAGGGATGTGCAAATGAAAGCATTTCTTCTCTGTCAGTGCTTCTGTCACCTTGCTCTGTGTGGCTGCCAGGCTGCAGCAGTCATGTGGCTGCAAGCCCTCTTGCTACGAAATTTGAGCTGGATGAGATCTTAAATTGGAGTTGCAAAACCAAGCCCGTTGTGGGGCTTGTGTCATGCTGGTGCTTCAGTAGCCTTGGGGCAAGCCCAGCTTTGCCTGTTGGTGCATAGTTACCTCTAATGATTCATTTGCCAGAGTATCTTAACTGAACAACTTGTACTGTCTTTTGCAGTGAAAGAGACCTTGGCATGCCAAATGGGATAGCTTTTGTGTGACTAATTCCCTTCTAAGACACTGTTCATGAAGGTATGAAATGGGAAAGAAAGTAGGCTGTAATGCTACTGATATCAGGAAGGATAAGATGTATGAAGAGTTGTCTCTGGTTTTTATCCTTTCTCTATTCTTCTACCCACTGCTGAAGACTATCTCAGTACACTGATGAACCTGTGGTCACACCAAAAAGTTCTTGAGTCTTCTTTAGTTCACTGTGAGCTCAGCAGCAAGTACAGCAGACCGAAAGGTCATGGGAATAACTTGCTTTACTTGGGGAAGGGGAAGGAGAATGTCAAATATGAGAGATATTTAACAGAGAGGCCTTTCTTGACTGGACGATTGTTATAAAGGCTGACAATTGGTGGTGTCACTGCTAATAGGAGTGTCAATATTGCTGCAGAAAGGCAATAACTGTCAGAAGAAAAGGGGTGTTTTTGGAAAAAAAGCCCAACAGGGCCCTGACTTTATGCCTGTTTTAAGGAAGCAGTTACCAAAATCCTGACAAAGAAGTGCTTTCGTCCACCGTAAGTCAGAATCTGTGCACATGTGAAGAGTGAAGGCTGAAGGAAGGGTGGGCACCCACCTGGAAAAGACCATTAGTCTACTAAACTTGACTCTAAGCTGTGATCAGCCAGAGACTGAATGTCACATATTAACCTGAATGAAACATCATTGTTTAACCTCAGTGAAAATACACTTTGGGAATACGGTTGGGTTTATTTGTCTTGACATTTGCAATGATGCCCTTTTATAGCCTAGATTAGCTATGATTTAAATAGAAGCAGTAGTTACTGTGTCATTTGTGGGCTGTAGGTGTTTTTCAAGCACTTGATTCAGGCAAGCCTTATCCATCTCTTGTCTGGAAGAAAGAACAATTCTACCTCACACATTCCTGACAAGTAAGTTTAACTTTTTCTCTAGCAATGGAGGCTCTTAAGACTTTTTCTGGTATGTGTATGTATCCTCAGGCAAGCTATTCCACTACTATAAAGCTTTCATCAATATTGTAGTCACATGTGCTGTGGTTTAGACTTCACATCATAGCTGCGTGAAGATTTGTCACAGGATAAAGCAAGTCCAACAGAGCTTCCATGTCTTGGAAGTTAAGCCAGAGCATGGGTGGCTCTATTGAATGAATGACATGTTCTCATCTACAGTTTAGTTTTGGAAAAACAGGTACACAACTGGATAGCAATGAATTCTGTCAGGGCAGGTCTTGTCTTTGTAGCTTCTGAGCATCTTTCTCAGGGAGAAACCATGTGCTTTTAGAGAAAACAGAAAACTCATGGTGGTAGATCCCTTGTAAGTCAGGCTCTTGTGAGGAAACGTGAGTCAGTGACAGAGAGCAACGGGAACATGTGCTGTATGTAACCAGGGCATTATCCAGACCTCAAAATAGCATTTCAGCATCTGCAAATAAAAGAATTGGTGAGGAAATTCAGGGGGCTGCTGGTTGGTCTCAGCATGGTGGTGGGCTGTGATGAGGTAGGACAGCACAGCCTCTTTCTGTCTGCTCTCTTTATCCTAGGGAAAGTAGTTTGCTAGATAATGGTATCTTTGTTGGAAAGCCCAGGTAAGGATTTCCTCCTCCCAGGAAATCTCTATTCAGAACCTGTTGTATTTCGGCACACGTTGGTACCCAGGAACAGGGACTAGATGGCTGTGCCTGGGTTGACTCCTCACAGAGAAGAGTGGGCCCTGAATGCATGAGAGGTACTACACTGTACCTGTCATATATATTCACAGAATGGTTTGGGTTGGAAGGGACCTGCCACAGGGACAGATAAATGATAGCCCTGGTATACTGATAACCCTTGCCTCACTCCAGCTGGTCCTGCACAGAGGAGGCTTGTATCTGTCCTGGGACATGGCAGAGCTGCTCTGATGGTGACTATACAGCTAGAGATGGCCAAGAATCCCCTGCAGCTACTGGGTACTCCAAAGGAATTAGACATGTACCTGTTGCAGGTTTTTTTCCTTCTGGAAGTGACAGCTATCCAGGCTGGAATGCTCCCTCTTCTCACACACGGTGCGTTCAATCTCCACAGACAGCATATATTTCAGCCCTCTGACGATCTAGAGAAAGCAGTTTCCTCCTTTAAAGTAAGGGCAGGGGAAAGGGATGCCAAAGTTTTGGCTGAGAATCAAGTGGTACCTCTGTAAATTGTGTGTGGAGTGAAGTGTTTTGTGTTTTGTTACTAGGGTAAGGATGGGGTAGCCAAGCTCTGTGGAGCAGTTGAAGGGGACAGAGGAACATGAGCTGTTTATCTTTAGGCATCCATAGCAGTCCTGAGGAGGATCAGGGCTCCTATATCTTGGGTGCTCTGTAGGAGAGTCAATTGATAAATGATTTGGAGGACCACCAGAAGTCTGAGCTCTTCTTACCTGAACCATGGCTTTGTTTATTTGTGATTCCTTAAACAGAAAGAGGTCATTGGAACTGTTGTTGTATCTGTAGACTCCAAAGCGAGCTGCCTTGCGGACACCAGGGTTGTCAGTGTTCATGGGGACAGGGAAACCAGGTTTTGTGGTTGAATGAGGTGGTAGGACATAGGTAGCTGAAACAACACAAAGCACAAGTGCAAAACACATCAGGAGCCTGAAGCGGTGGAAGCTCAGCCCTCTGAACTAGTGCTAAACCTCACTTGTCCAAAGCACTTGTACTTCAGGACTCTGCTCACCTCCGTTACCGAGTCATTTTCCTTTATATGTTTGAGATGGTGAAACAACCCTGTGGAATGAAGTGACATCAAAAGATGATAGCAGAGCTCAAGAGTGACTCAGAGGACCCCATACTATCATGAATATTATTTAGAACATCACTGGCATGATGACTCCTGGCTCATAGAAAGTCCAGCTTTGAATCTAAAGATAGATCATGTTGCTCAGAATAGAGTATGATTTTTGATAACTTAAGAGACCCTGGATTGCAGAGCCCTGCTGCTCTTAGCTGGCATGCCAAGTTCAACTTGCAGAGATCAGTCTTTCGCACCCCCCCTTAATGCTTTGATGACATCTTGAAGTTTTTATTTTAGGGGGATTTAGGTGGTGATAAAGGTGAGGGAAAGGTATCTTCCTTCTACCTGCTGAGAGTTGTTATCCCTCCCCTTTGAGAGGGAGAGGATGTTCTACAGCTGGGCACAGGGAAGTACCTGGGCAGAACTTGGACCAGCTCCTCACTGTCCTGCAGAACAGGCTGCTTTGGGTGCTGAAGTGCTGCTGCCCTTACCAAAATGCAAAGGACCATCTTCTTACCACAGCCATGAAGTGGAGGAGCAAGGTGTGTAGGAGATGGAAACTAGAGGGGGGAAACCCATAAGCTTTTGAGTTTGAGCGCTCCTTTCCACACACTGTATGTTCTTACTTGGTTGTGTAGGTCATTTCCCTATGCCCTGCTTGTTTTTTCAATAACTTTAAAGAAGCTTGAAGCTAACAGTATGTCCTCTTCTTTCTCCCCTCTTACACTTGCCTTCCCTTCTATTTTCCTGCTTGTGAAATACACAGGTTGAGGATTTTTCCCTCTTGCTTGTAAGTTGCTGTGCAACCACTGCTGATGCCAAGACCTGCCAGTGCAGGCCATGGCCCTTGGAGCTCATGCTCTGTGTGTGTAGGCAGTGAGCCTGCCTATGCATGCAAACGTGCACACAGAACTTGGGCTAAATGTGCTGTGAAAGTTAAGGTTCTTATCACCTCCAGCTCTTTCACAACTAGATTTCTCACTCACAGCCAAATGTGGACTGTGAATTTAAGCCAGTTTCTACTGAGAAACCAGAGCAGAGCGGCAACCTGAGCTTCCCTAGCACTGGGAGAGCCTGCCAGGCTGAGAGCAGCTCAGTGGCTTGGGCTCTTCTGCCTGCTCTGCAGGACCTTGCTTGTATCTATGCTCTTAGGCCTGTTGGAGAATCAGATGTGGCAGTGGTTGGGGTGCCAACAGCAGAAGCTGTCCCTTGCAGGAGGAGGGGATAACCATGCGCTTTTTCAAACTCAGCACAAGGTCCTTTGCTGCTTTATATCCCTCAACACTTCTAGAGTCATGGTGGCACCTATTTTAGGCATGTGGGGCAGGGTGAGTGAGGCTGAGCTCATGCTGTAGGCATGCAGACATGTAGCAGGCTGGTAATAAACCATATGTTGTAGGAAGGTGGTAGGCTTGTGTGGATGCCATGGTTTTCACCCAGGGGTCCTGGCACTGCACCTCCTTCACCCATTGCAACTTGGTACTGAGAAGGACTCAGACCAGAGTAAAGTGAGTACTGAATCCACTAAGCCATGGGAGAACATTACTGAACCACTCTCTTCTCCCCTGCCCCGCTTGCTTCTAGTGATTCATATTCCTCAAGATTAGGACTTTGTTTTTCTTTATATGCCTTGAGTCTTATTCAAGGCAGCTGCTCCATGGTACCTGCATTGCTCTGAAATAACTTTTGATGTTTGGAATAGTTTGCACCACTCCTTGCAAAGCCCAGCAACTCTCTGGTGCGGGGCACCTGTAGTTCTGATTCTCTTCACCACAACCTTTCATGGGAGCTTCTTATAGGATCACAGATGGGTTTAGGTTGGAAGGGATCTTAAAACTCACCCAGTTCCAACCCCCTGCCATAGGCAGGGACACCTTTCACTAGACCAGGTTGCTCCAAGCCCAGTTCAATTTGGCCTTCCTCCCTAGCTTAGCCTTTGGGGGCCATTACCTTTAAAAGTTGAATGTGTTCATGGTGATGGCCCTGCTTCAGGAGCAAAGCAGAACAGCCCAGAGGATGTGCTCTCATGGCTTGGGAAAACAGCCCTTGGAGCCAGAGCATTTGTGTTTTCAGACCCCATCCTTTGCTTCTGGGTTTGGAAATGGGAAGAGACGGGAGAAAATCTGCCCCCCTCCCCTTCTGTTGGGTGGTAGCAGGGTAGACTCCTCCTGCTCTGAGTTAACAGGCAACTGCCTGCTATTAAGCAAGAGAAGGCTGTTCTTGCAGGCATGAATTGAATGTTGTATTTGGAGGCTCTCTCTTGTGCTTTCCTCATTGAGGAATACTCTGGGGGCTCTTTCTGCAGTAGGAGACAGCAATCCTGTGGATGCTCCCTCCCAGCCTGCAGTGAAGCAAACAGGCAGATAGCAACAGGTTGCTCTTTTTTTATTTCCCCATGAGGTGCTTTCAAAACCTCCTCCCCATTACTAGGAGCAAGCCTTTATCTACATTGAAGATGCAGCAGAGTTCCTGCAGGCCTCCGCAACCCCCAAAGGAAACCACAGCTGAAGAAAAGCTGCCAGCCAAGCAAGCACCATGCCCCTGGGTGCCTTAGTACTGTGTGTATGGGAGCCAGAGTTAAACTGAACTAGAGCTAAAACCTGCAGAGGAAACACTCCTGTCTGCAGCTCCCATTCTAAAGATTTAAGGCCAGCTGCAATCAAGAGAGTTTCCTTGCTCAGCAAAGAAAGGAATGTCACACAGTAATGCTTCATTAAAGGCAGCTAATCGGCGCTCAAGTGCCCATCTGCACTTAGCAGTCAAATTGTTACCCACAGTCTTTAGATTTAATAATCAAGGTCGTGTAGAGTTTAAACACAGACAAATAACTTAAAACCATCTCTAAAATCCTTCAGTGCTGTCCCCGGATAACGTGGTTTGCTACAAGGGGAGAAAGTCTTTCAAGCAGTTGGGTTTTCAGCTGCAGCCTGAGCCCTGCGGTGCTGAGCCAGCATGGGCAGTAGCCGAAGGGTGGTTAGTTACCAGTGCATTAGAAAGCAGCACTCAAGGACCTAAAGCACAAGGAAAACAGACGCTGCTTCCCACTCTTACCTCCTGAAGCTGTGCTGAAGCTCCAGAGCGCTACACAGCAAAGTGCGGTGAAGCTGCGGGTGAAGTTCACTGCCATCTCCACCACTTCAGATGAGGACCCTGCCTGCAAGAGGAGTGACAGCCCTGCTTCCTGCAGGGGAAGATGTGCCTCTGGGTGCTCTTATTGGCTGGGAGGAAAGAGGAAAACCCCCATAATCATCACAGCTCTGATGCAGACTTTGTCTCCTGCCGATGACCACGTACCTCAAAGCTCTGGCTTGGTGACAGCAGCACCAGCCCTGCATCAGACAGGGACTTTGCACAACCTCTGAGGATCATGAAGCAAAAGCATGGGCAGATAGGTGTGATGTGGCACTAGGAAGTGTGTGTGTGTGTGTGTGTGTGAGGGGAGTACCAGTCATATGCTTTAAGATTCATGGGGAAATGTAATCCCTATGGAATGGGCAATGAACCATGGGGATGTTGTTCTTGAATTCTACAGAATCATAGAGTAGCTTGGGTTGGAAGGGACCTTCACAGGTGATCTAGTCCAGCGCCCCTGCGATGAGCAGGGACATCTTCAAGTAGGTCAGGTATATGGGTGTCTGTGTGAGGAGAAGCCTGATGGAGAAGATGGGCCCATTCTCTTGTTTCCCCTGACATGGAGATGTGGGGCTTGGTTGAGGAAGACAAGGAATGTTTAGGGGTACCTGCCCGAGGGGGCTGTGTGGAGCAGAGCCAGTTGCCAAGGGCTTTTGGTTTTGCTGGCAGAGATGAACGCTCTGCCCCACATTTACAGAAGGCGTTTTGACAGCAGGAAAGGGCTGTGTTAGGCTCGGAGGAGGTGAGGTTTTCTCTAGGTGCTCCCCAGAGAGCAAGAGAAACACTGGCAGAGGGGTACTTTGACCCTCTGTGGCTTCTAGGGTTTTCCAGCTCTGGGGTTGGATTCCCCAGGGTCAATACTTGGTTTCCATGGAGGTCCTCTCTAGGAAGGGTTGTCCCATAGCGAGGAGCTTGCAAGTCTAGGGAAAGGGCTTTGTTGTCAGACCTTGTGATGGACCTGAAATAACCAGTGTCCAGATGCAGGAGACTGGGAGATGACCTGATAAGTCACTGCAGGGCTGAGAGTGGTGGACCTCAGCCTGTGTATGTGTCTGTTTCAGGCGAGGAGGAAGGTTGCCTTTTGTTGCTCCAACAACAAACTATGCTCCTTTCCTTCCCTCCTTGCTGAAGGAAAGTCCTGATGCAGGGTAGCGTGGGTGATACATAAGAGGCTGGCTGAAAACCCCTTCCTTGTATGAAGGGGTTAGGTAAATCCTGTGTTGAAATGTCCCATCAAGAAGGAATGGGGCAAGCCCGGTGAGTCACGTTGATCGTTAGTCCTACGTGCGAAGAGCTTCTGAATCAGACTCCAGAGCCTCTGGAATGCATTGGTCGCTTGTCTCTCAGCTGTGGCACAGGTAGGGACTGAATCAAGGATCTTCAGCCTTCCCTTTCTCCTCAAGAGCTGTGCTCTACAGTTCCTATCTCACTGAGAGTCTCAACGGGGATATCTTTGTAAGCCTGTAGTAGAGTTCTCCAGCATACAAGCAAAGTGGGTGGTTGGGACCCTTGTCACCAGATCCGAACACACTCCTGTGTGTTGCAAGTGCCTGTTTGTCACCCTGTCCCATGCTGTACCAGAAAGCGTTCAGGCTTCCTGCAGAAACCTCCATTTTTATGCTGTATAATAAATTCAGTCATTTTTCAGTGTAAACATAATTCCTTAGTAATTGCCATCTATTTCTTTTTATTGGTAGCAATAGCTTAGCTTTGCAAATGCAAGATCTGGACTGTTCTGGCAGTGCCGTAGGAGAGGCTTGCTTAATAGAAGTACAAATGCATTTGGGAAGGTTTAAGCTGGACATCTGCAGAGAGCTCTCTTTTGGGTGAACCTGGCAGAATTCATTCCCCAATAAGGCTGTGAGGGGCTGGAGAGCAGGATGAAACCCTTCTGTCTGTGAAGGTTTAGGACATGTGGCTGATCCTTGTAAGGCACAGCTGGAATGAGATTTGAACAGCCAAGCATAGTGGCTCTTTCAGCCTTGTCACCAAGCCTGATTTGTGACCTTCCCCTTCTCTTCCAGTGCTGCAGGAGCCTTTGCGTAGTTGCTGATAGCTTTTGGAGCAGGCTCTTACTGATGCAGTTTCCTCAGTGGAATTGTTTATGCGCTGGGAACACCATTTGTTATTGCAGTTCTTCCAACCCTTCCATGGTTTCCTTTCTCATCTTTTGATCTATCCACACTGAGAAAAATAACCCTCACTCTGACCCACGTGCCCATGCAGCCCAGAGCATCCTTTCGATAGTCCCACTGAGCAAGCTCCAGGAGAAACCCTGGGGAATTTTCATCTCCATTTCACCATCAGCTCATTAAGATGAGACAGGTACAACATCCCGGAATGAAAACGACAGATGCAAACCCAGGTCTTTAAATACGAGTGTTTGCTAAGATTCTGTGCTGACTTTTGATTACTGGTGCCTTTCACTGACTTCAGCTACAGGATCTGAATCTTCTTTATTGTGCATTCCCAGGATGATAAAACATGGTTATTGCTAATGCAGTTTGGCTTCTATACCCTTAACACAAAGGCCTGTTCCTTGGTTCTTGTATGCTACCAAAAGTAGTGAGATTCTAATTACCAGTCAATAAAGTCCTTCCCATTTTTCATGGTGATAGACCTGAAAGAAGTTATTTTTACTCGCTAGTTACATACTGCCTCTTAAGATGTCAGTGGCTGGGGGCATATTGGGTTCACTGCAACTCAGGGAGGTATTTATTTGCCAGTCACATCCCTTCACCCCCCATCTCTCTGATAAGTGCTTTCTGCTGAGGGGCATTGAGGATCCTTTGAGATCCATGGGTTCTCTGGGGCTGTGCCAAAGCATGGGGACACCAGCAGCAATTTAGCAGTGGGACTCTGTGCAAGTGCTGTGTCTGTCCATGCACGATGTTCCACGTGTGGTCTGTGCTGCTGGCAGGAATGCTTTTATTGCTGTGCCTGGCTGTGTTCAGGAAGCCGTGAAGTGTGGTACAATGTGAGAAGTTTAAGTTTAAAAGTCCTGTGCTGCTCGTAAACACTTAACCCTGCTTTTCAAGCGCAGTGCTTAATCAAGGGGTGGAGAATACGAAGCCTCTTCCACTCACTTGGGCCATAAATGAGCCCCTTATCAATAGGGCACACAGAATTGCTGCTGTTTCCAATGGCTAAGAAAGTGTGTAGCGATTGTTCTTAACAACTCCATCTCTTTAGGATGGTGGGTCTAAAGACATTGGAACAGAAGGAGACCACAACCCCCATGATGTGACTGATGCTACAATGCTAAACGCAGACCTATTGCAGTGCTTATTTGTAAAGCCTTGTCGTGAGCACCCTGCTATCACCAGTGGAGGGGATTTGGGGTGCCTCCAGACTCAGGCCTTTCCTGGGGCTTGTTCTTGCAAGGTGCCTGCCTTTCTCTCCTGGGAGAGGGCATGGAAAAGGAAAGCAGTCTCCTGACCTGCACCTTGAGCATCTCCAGCTTTTACATGTGGACGTCATGCTGGTAAGGTGAGGGTGACAAAGATCTATTCATTATAGGAACACGGAACGGTTTGGGATGGAAGGGGCCTTAAAGCTCATCCAGTTCCAACCCCCTGCCATGGGCAGGGACATCTTCCACTAGACCGGGTTGCTCCAAGCCCTTGTGTCCAACCTGGCCCTTCTAATGAATGTAGGCATTCCTGGGATAAACCAAGAGCTAGGATGCATGCAGACAGCACCCCAGAGGGGTGTGAAAGAGGATGGACAGGAGATGTGCAGAGTGGGGCTGAGTATGGAGCCACGGCTGCAAACAGACCCGTGTGGACACGGTGGGTCTCTGTCCCTGCAGACCCTCAGCTCAGCAAGCGTTGCTGGGGCATTGCTCTGCACTAATTGAACTTAGCTGGGGACCTGCTGGGGGTGTTTGGGTTCACAGGGGCGCTGCTCTGCTGGGGCAGTCAGGATGGAGCATTGCCCTGTCAGAGCCTCAGGCTGTGCCTGGCTGCGTGAACACCAGCATCAGGGGAGCAGAAACTGCTTCCATTAGCAACTAAATGGTTCTGTGTCTGCAGATGACAAATGCGCTGCTCGTGAGACGTGAGGGCATGCTGACACAGCGCTAGGAAGTTAAACACAGGCACATGCAGCACGGGGGGGCACATGCTGTTTTATTCACCTTCCAAAGAAGGGCTTTGGACAAGGCCCTGTAGGGACAGGACAAGGGGGAATGGCTTTAACCTGACAGAGGGGAGATTGAGATGAGACATTAGGAAGAAATTCTTCCCTGTGAGGGTGGTGAGATGCTGGCACAGGGTGCCCAGAGAACCTGTGGCTGCCCCATCCCTGGCAGTGTTCAAGGCCAGGTTGGATGGGGCTTGGAGCAACCTGCTCTAGTGGAAGGTGTCCCTGCCCATGGCAGGGGTTGGAACTGGATGAGCTTTAAGGTCCCTTCCAACCCAAACCGGTCTGGGATTCTGTGAAAGAGCAAACCTGTGATGGGATGCTTCAGGAGGTTTCTGGGGTTGTGTAGAGCTTGCTGTTGGATGTTTGAAGGGGATTACAGGAATGCACAAGCATTACGGGGTGTTTAAGGGAAGGAACAGAGGCAGGGAAAGGAGGGATCAGAGCCAACTGAGGAGAAACAAGCATGGGAGAATGGGTAGGTGAGAGGATGAAAAGGTGCAACTGCGTGTAAGCAGGCTGGGTGCTTTCCTGGGTGAGCTCTGTCTGTGCTTCAGCCTGGCCTGGCCTCATACTAACCCTGATTTCTCAGTTCCCTTTTCTTTCTCTCTCTATCTCAGTGCATGTGAGTATGTGAATGTTTCACTGGGAGACTCCAGGCTCTACCAGTTGGTGAGTAGAAGAGCAGAATGTGAAAGCCCAGGGCTGGACACAGGGTAAGTGAGGCTCATGGGCTTGGTATGGAGTACGGATGGAAGCAGTGTCTGGCATTGGAGGTTTGTGCTGATGAAGGGGAGAGTGTGAAACCATGTGTGTCCACTGGACCTGCTGCAAGAAGTGCAGATTGCTGCAGAACAGGGTGTCCAAGGGAGAGTCAGCAACTTGCTGTGGTTATGGGGCAAGGCAGCCAGCCCGGCTGATCAGAGGAACCAGATTAAACATGGATCATTTCCAGTTAAAGCTTTGACTGA